TTTACGGGACGGTTGGGGAAGGATTATGTAAATGTAGTGTTAGTATAGAGGTTCGTAGTTATACCTTTCTAGGACCCCAGGGTCGCTTAGCACTTGCTGTATCTTCTTGGTTCCCATCAAATGATGCGCCACTGTAGGGCATTTAATACAACGAGACAACTCTAATGTTAAACGAGCTGACCATTCCTGAAACACCAAGCACTTGTTGAACTATTACCACTCACAATTAGACTGCAAAATACATCACAAAAACTGATAGGTTAACTTAGCTACAACCACTCCTTTATTTGTTACTACTTGCGATCTCCATTGTAGCAATATATAAACCTTTAATGATCAATTAATTCTCAAAATTTGAGGATACTTTTACACGTCTACCTGGCCATGTAGAAAGAGGTAAGGATTTGTATGCTTTAAAAACACACATAGCAAATTGACGTATGAAGATAACTGAATTAGAGAGACTTCTCGTCCTCTAAACTCAGTTCCAGTGTTCTTGTTATATTTCTTTTCTTAGAACTTAACTGGTACCAACTGTTTATATTATGCATAATCAACTTACCTGATCTGTGGGGTAGTCTTTGGGTGTGTAGCCTGCTCTGAAATAAGCTACACCAACTTCAATTCCGGTCCTGTTCACCAAGAACAGAACAGATAGTTATCACTTCAACAGGCCCTCTCGACAAAATGAATGTTATGTAAAGAATATATCAGTTACTGACAAAGTCCATTCAAGTCTTGTAATCGAGCGGTTTTCAACTGAGTCGCAAAACCAGAGTGATCACTCGGGCCAATCACAAAGCACACACGCAATCTTGTGAACCAATTAAAACTGACGCGAAGCGCGTGAAAATGCGTGCAAGCGACTCACAGTTGGTTTTAGTTTTACTTCTGGTTGGACGAAAAAGTGGCGCGAATTTTTTAAGCCAATCGTAAAGCGTAGCAATGCAAAATCAATCACTTTTCCGCACTCAAGTGAAAACCGCTCTAAAACAGTTGTACGTGTTGCTTGAATAGCACTGACTGATTCGCTGAAAGCTGTTGATTAATAGTAGGCAGTTATCGTGTGCTGTTGTGTTGTAAATCCACGAATCTGATTGGCTCGGTCACGATCGATTATTCGCTGATAGACCACGATTATGAGCGCGTTAGTCTCGAAAGGAAAAAAAATTAACAAAGAAACTTACACAAAGATGGATTTATCGTTGCTCATTTTACCGTCTTTAAAAATGTCGTTAAGGCTCCGCCTGATCACTTTTACAACATTGTTCCTGCATAAACAGAAAAACGTACAAAAGCAATAGAAAAAAGAAACTCAGAGACATGAAAAGAATCCGATAATTAGAAGCTTTTGTTCTCACGTGAGGGCATTGCAGGTACAAGAATTAGGGCAACAAAACCTCTATCAAATTAACGCACGTTTTGTCAGAATGTATTCTGATAAAATCGTGGAGATGTTCAGCGTGTCCACATCTAGAGAATGGTTGGACTTGTTATTATATCTAAAAGCAATTGTTAATCCTTTGCATGTGTGTTATTGAGTGAACAGAATTAAGTGTTTACCTCTCATGAATACGGTATTCCAGCAGCCTTTGGTCATAAACATTAACCTCGTCAGGCTGAACAACGAACATGATGACAGCACTAAAAACAAAACGTTAACAAGGCTGTTAACTACACAAACTAAACAAACAAACAAACAAACAA